TGCTCCGCCAAAAGACACTTTGGAGTAAAACTGTCTCATACACCTTCCTGGATTTAGCAAATGAAGTATCACACACAGTGATAGGTCATCCTAGACAGGGGCAGTCTTTGGGGCCCTGGGCGAAAGTCCAGGATTACAGTCCTGGGTAAGATGGGAGGGTGGACGTAGCCACTGAGCTGGCTGTCACCTGAAACCTGGGGGGGAGGGATGTATCCTATGGCTAACAATGTCCGTGGAAAGATGGCAGAAAAGCAGACCCTGGACTGGTTTTTCCCTCTTTAATTAGAAAGACTGTAACATTGTTCTGCACCTTTTCACTTCAGGCTTCAGTACAACTTGTCAAGGATTTATCCACTAGAGAATCTATGCAGCCAGACAATGAGATATAAAAGTGTCTGAGAATATGACCATCTTGTCTAATACATCAAATTTACAAATACCCTGGGGTTGCAGTTGACAATCTCTCTGTCTCTCTCTCTCTCATTCGGAAAATTTATTTCAGCCTCCCAAACTTCCACTGTGTCATAAACTGGACTTTGCTAATGCATTCTTTGGGGCTGTGGTGCCTCAGAGGTTAAGACGCTGAGCTGCAGACTGGAAGGTCTGTAGTTTGGCAGTTTGAGACCCTAGTGCCACGTGACAGAGTGAGCTCCCGTCTTTGGCCCCACTGCCACCCTCGGAGTTCGAAAGCAAGAAACTGCAAGTAGAAAAATAGGCACCACTTTGGTGGGAAGGTTAACAGCATTCTGTGTGCCTCGATGTTTAGTCATGCCGGTCACATGACCACAGAAACGTCTTCGAACAGCACTGGCTCTTCGGTTTGGAAATGGAGATGAGCACCGCCCCCTAGAGTCAGACTCGACTGGCTTTCGAGCAAGGGAAACCGTTACCTTATCTTTAATGCATTCTTTAAAAAAAACAAATAATTCATGGTCATTCTCTTCAGAAGTCATTGTGACTCTCTGTGAGCCCATTTTGATATCTTAGATCAGAAGATTAGTACCACCCTCTCCTTGGAATAACCATTCTCAACAGATACAACCATTCTTGACCACTCTGTTCAAACAATTTTGAGCTCTCAGTTTCCTCCTGTCTCCCTGCTATCCCCTCCATCTATGGGTCCCCAGTTCTTCCATCTCTCCCTGTACAGCAAGAGTAGGATGGAGTAGGAGGAAGACAGAGACAGGCTGTGTGTATGTACTACTCAAGGACTGGAAGAGTATCTTTTTTGCCCAAAGCAGTGGAGTGAATCAAAAAGCAAATGCACTTTCTGAGGTATTTTTTTACTGCGCGTCTTCGGCGGGATGCCACGGGTTGGCTACAGGTGCGCTATGCTTCCCAGTTGTTGTGGTGTGATTACACACCGAAAATCTGCCTACCACTCATGCCTTTAGCGTGGCAAATCCTCCATGTGAACGGGGCCCTTGTTTATTATTAAATGGATAGCTCAAATCCTCATAAACTATGTAATCTCTTTCTCCCCCCCCCCCCGAGCAACCCAGACTGCATTTCAAAGCCATTCATTTTGATTTGTACAGAAGACTTTGTGGAAGCACTAAGCACACATGAGGGCTTCAATCAGAGACCCCCCCCCCTCCCAAGCAACCCAGACTGCATTTCAAAGCCATTCATTTTGATTTGTACAGAAGACTTTGTGGAAGCACTAAGCACACATGAGGGCTTCAATCAGAGACAGCCATTTCACATGCCCATCATTTTTGCTTGCATAAGCTACTCTTCTGTGTGTTTTTTTAATCACTCTGAAGCAATTGTGCTCAGCCTTGGCAACAAATTATGTTGTGGGGCTCTAGCCATCACTTTTGACTGCAACTCTCACAGCTTGTCATCTTCTTTATTTCTTAACTCCCAAAATGGTACTCAATAAATGTGGCAAAGTGCTGAAAGGAGACAATGTCTGCCCCATGGTCCTTGATGTTCACCGGTTAACTTATAATGGTGCCATCCCATATGACGGGATGAAGACAGTCAAACAAGCCTGTGAATGACTCCCTAAGCAGACTTCCTGCCCATCACTGCTGATGCAGAGTTGCCATGACAGAAAGCAAGTGAGTGCAATGGAGGCCTTTAATCTTTCCAGACCTATCATTCACTTTTAACCTAAGGATGGCAGCAGGGACTCAGTGAGCAGCAAGCGCATGACATCAGAACTATGTGACCCTGCTCTGAAGCGTTAACTGCTATGCCATACTACCCTGTTTCCCTGAAAATAAGACCTACCCCAAAAATAAGCCCTAGCAGGATTTCTATGCATTTGTGGTATAAGCCCTAGTGTGTCTTCTTGAAAAAAAATAAAGACAGTGTCTTATTTTCGGGGAAACACGGTAGCTGTTCTAGGGGGGTTGCTGCTGTTGAACAGGAGCAAGCAGCCAGGCCTAGTATCATTCACTTTTAATGTAAAGATGGCAGTAGGGACTCAGTGAGCAGCAAGTGCATGACATCAGAACTATGTGACAGGAAGAGGAGGAGCTAGAGCCTCTGAACCTGACTGTGCAAAAAGGGAACCCTCACACTGATGAGTGACCTTGCATTGCTGCCCTGTTGCTCTTCTCAGAGCACATGCAAAGAGAAGAAGGAAGTGTGGCAGCAACAGGTCTTTCCAAAACAACAACAAACAAAACAATGGCAGCTTTGTAGGGGCTGGTGACCCAGCAGGTGGGGTACCATGGCCCCTGGTGGTAGGAAAATTGGGAAGATGTGTATTTGTTCTTCTAAATCTACGGAATTAAGATGAGAAGCCTGCACACAGAAAAAAGGGCCAAAGCCTAGAGAGAATCAGAGAGCAATTGGGTTATTATTTATTTACTAGGAATAAGGCCCATTGTGGAAATAAATACAATGAGCTCTGGAAAGAGGCTCTGGGGGGGGGGGTGCCCTGCCCTTGGGAACTCAGCAACAATTTGCTGTGGTGACCTCAGCAGGGTATAAGGACACAGAGTCCACCATTTTCTCCAGGGGAACTGTTCTCTGCCATCTGAAGAGCAGTTATAATTCTGAGTGATCTCCAGCCCTCCCCTGGATATTGGCAGCAATGATTCCCCAGGAGGAAATGGCTAGTTTGGAGGGTGGAGTCTATGGCATTGTACCTGTCTGAGGTCCTACCCTCTCCAGACTTTCTTCACAGTGAGGACCAAAGCCGCTTACATCATTCTCCTCTCCCCCTTTCAATCTGCACAACAACCCTGTGGCGTAGATTAGGCTGAAAGTCTGCGAGTGGTCTGAAATAACCCAATCAGCTTCCACATTAAGAATCTGGGTCTGGCAGACCCTGCTCTGAAGTGCTAACTGCTGCATCACACTGGCTGTCATGGGGTATAATGACAAAGAGTTCACAATTTTCTCCTGGGAGACTGATCTCTGCCATCTGGAGAGCAGTTGTAATTCTAAGTGATCTCCAGCAGCTGGAGATTGGCAACAATGGTTCCCCAGGAGGAAAAGTACAGTCTTTCTCTGCAGTGGGGACCAAAGCAGCCAGCTTACATCATTCTCCTCTCCCCCCTTTCGATCAGCACAACAACCTTGTGATGTAGGTTAGGCCAAAAGTCTGTGAGTGGTCTGAAATCACCCACTCAGCTTCCACAGCAAGAACCTGGGCCTGGCAGACCCTGCTCTGAAGTGTTAACTGCTATGCCACACTAGCTGTTCTAGCAGGGTTGCTGCTGCTGAACAGGAGCAAGCAGCCAGGCCTAGTTAAGCTATGCCATTAAGGTGGCATCAACTCACCCAGAGGGAGCTGCCAGGCCTAGGATAGCCAACTTCCAGGTGAAGCCTAAAGATTACCTGGTATCACAACTGAACTCCAGACAACAGATCTCTCTCCCCCTGGAGAAAATAACTGCTTTGGAGGATGGACTCTATGGCATTTTATTCAGCTGAGGCCTCTCCCTTCCCCAAAGTCTGGCTTCCATAGATTCCACCACCAAATCTCCAGGAATTTCCCAACCTGGATCTAGCAACCCTAGTCAGGACTGGCCCCAATGAGTTCCCCACAAAGACCAAAGTAGGCCTGGAAAGGGCCTTCTGCCCCTGCCTTTTTACTGATAGAACCAAGCTTGGTTGCCTAGCAACAGCCACTGAAGGGAAAGTGAGCCCCACAGCAGGAGGGGAATGCTTTGATGGCTGGTGGCTCACCTCAGTAGCCAGCCAGCCATGGAGGAACCAAGCAGCAGAAGCGACAGCAATAGAAGCCTCTTCCTGAGCATGGAACAGCTGTTTCAGTAGCCAGACAGACATGGAGGAGTGCACAGCACAGTCAATGAGAGCCGGAAATTGCCAATATGCTAGGGCTTTTATATATATATATGGGATTATTTATTACATTACATTTCTATACCACTCTCCCCATAAGCAGTACCTTTGTGTTTTGTTGGTATATGGTCTATAGCAAACACAAACAGTATGAATAATAGACATGTTCTTAAACTTCCAAGAGGTGGTTTGGGGAAGTTGGGGCCCATTCAGGACTTCCTGGCTCACCTGTTATGTGTACTTATATATTAATGATGTGGTTCATCTGTCATTGAAACTTCCATATGCACTGCAGAAAATACCACTGTAACACCAGAGCATCTGATGCAAACCCAACAGTCACCCAGTAAAATGTCTGGTGTTCAATTGCTTGCTGAGTGACGGAGGTCACCAGGAATCCACGGAAGCCTGTCATTCTCTCTCAGCCTCAACTATCTCATGTGGTGAGAAATAAATAAACAAACGCATGCTCCAAGAATGGTAGATCTAACTATAACTGTGCAGGACGTCCAAGAGAGGATGATTGGCATCAAAAAGGAGAACTCCTCAAAGACATCATGGGGGCAAAGGTACTTCCTCAGACCTTAAGCTCAGTAGAAATCAACTGGCTGGGATACATCAGCATACAAAATAGTTTGGTGAAAATATTTTTTTCAGTATGAGCAATGCATCCAAAGTCAAAATGGCCACAGATCACACAGATGTCTTAGAATGAGCAACTTTCTAACACTTACGTTTAGCAGCTGTTCAAAGGCAAAGCTAAAGCCTTTCTTATAATCAGTGATTCCTTTCGCTGAGATTTTATAGACTGCCTCTTTCAGCTTCTTCTTGTTCCTCACATTAGCTTGCACAAGATGGTTGAAGCAACTGACATTCTGAGCAGTTTCATTGACCTGGGGGGGGGGGGGCGGAGGTGCTGTGGGCAGGTGGTGCAGAGGGGGAGGAGGAGAGAGAGAGAGAGAGAGAGAGAGAGAGAGAGAGAGAGAGAGTTATACTGTAGGGCTGTAACTTTTTAAAACTTAAGCAGCTGACTCCCAACCCATGATGAATTACAAACTGCATCTCTGTTTCAAAACATGTTTCTCATGATGATTGAATAGAACATCCATGTCTAGAAGTAGTATGATTGTGGTGGGGCACAGCAGCTAAAGAGGGTGGCTATTGCCTTTGGCCCAGAATCTGGGCTCCCCGCAGGGCAACTGGTTGGCAAGTATGGGTGGCAGGATGCTGGTCAGATCCAACTGGGCTCTTCGAGCTAAGTTCAGCCATCATGTGAAACTATCACTTAATATACTGAGTGTGATCATCTGAATACAGACCACTCCACTGTCTATGGTTAATTAAACAAGGCTCTGACTCCAAAGTTGCCATCTGATCCAAAACTGAATCACTTCTCTTGTAAGTCCTTCAAAGTAATCCACTGGGCATAGAATGGTGTGTAACTCTGCTTAGGGCTGCATTGTTAGTCTTAACTACAGTTTCACTGTCAACAATCCTGGGTCAATTCTGGCTTGTTCCTTAGCACCACACTTCTCAGCTGCTAGAAAATGTAATGAATTCAGAATTTGTTGAGGTAAATCAGGATTTGAGCAATCTTCTGTCAACCGAATCCCAGTTTTATCCAGAGTTATAAATGATAGTTTTGTGTAATGATTGGACTGATCCTTTTTGCTGTTATGGGGGAGTGAGCTGCTCTTCAAGGAAAAACCCCCACAAAACAATGCTGTCGGGTTTCCAGGAACCAGTAATATGTCACTTGTACCCTGACCAACACCTGCTATTTGAATTCAAGCATCAGCTCTATAGAGTTTGTGGATGCACTGCACAATTTAACTATTGTTCACAATAGTTCTCCTTATCACCAACCAGGATGCCCAATTTTATGTCAGAGAGTAATCAAATGCAAACTCCTTCCAGTGGTCTGGAACAGAATGATTGACATTCCTTGCCAGCATGGGATAACAAACCCCTTTTTCTAAAAGATAAAACAAGCAGATTAACATTTTCTCCAGCAGACCTGTCCCATACTTGATGCATCAATAAACGACAGAGCAAAGTTTTTCCAATGTAAAAGCCTTCTGGCCTGGCCGTCAAATAGTCTATCCCTTCCTCTAGTGGTAATAATACCACAATTAAATAATACTCTGCGCAAGCCACACTGGCAGTGAGCTTATCTATCATTGAGAAGAGGTTAGGGTCTGTTGGCTATGTCTTGAACTCGACATTGTTTTGTTGAAAAGTTGGGTTTTGTCACAGCTGTGGTGGCTCAGAGGTTAAGACGCTGAGCTGCAGACCGGAAGGTCTGTAGTTCAGCAGTTTGAGACCTTAGTGTTGTGTGATGGAGTGAGCTCCCGTCTCTGGCCCCAGCTCCTGCTAACCTAGCAGTTCTAAAGCAAGAAATTGCAAGTCGATAGGTACTACTTTGATGGGAAGATAACAGCATTCCGTGCACCTCAGCATTTAGTCATGCCGGCCACATGACCACGGAAACAACTTCGGACAGCGCTGGCTCTTCGGCTTGGAAACGGAGATGAGCACTGTCCCCTAGAGTCAGATTCGACTAGCTTTTGAGCAAGGGAAACCTTTACCTTTTTTTCTTAGGGTTTTGTCATATAAGTTATTCACTTGGCTACATTCAAGTAAAGTGGAATTTTATAAGAAAATCTTATATTTGCGTGGCATGGATGTTTTGTAGGAGTGCTCCATTGTCAAGATTTTTTTTTAAAGATCTGTTTTCTTATATGCTCTTGCTACAAATCATTTGCACAGAAGAGAATCTACGCAGTTCTATGTAGTCAGGATCTCCTGAATAAAAGAAGCTGAGTGTCGATTAATACTGATAACCTGATGGTGGATGACTGCTAAATGGAGTCTCTGTGGGTTCAGAGAGCCTACGAAAACATCATATCACTCAACAAGATAAGAAAGAATGATCTAACTGGCCACTTTTTCATAAGTTAGCAAGACAAACTCTTCTAACTATTAAATTCCACCCCACCCCCCATTTACAACTATTGGCAAAGATACTAATCTATATTTACAACACTCTATTCCTGCCATTTCTGCAAGGGGTTCAGGGTGCCATATATGACACTACTGCAGAATGCTGCAGCTAGACTGCTGGTTAGGGCCAACTGTTGGCAGCATGCGACCCCAACACTTCAGCAATTACACTAGCTTCCAGTCTGTTCCAGATCCAAATTCAAGGTATTGGTTTTGTCCTTTAAATCCCTAGATGGCTTAGGAGCCAGGTATGTGAAGGACTGTCTTTTCCCATACATTTGTGCCCAGAAATTAAGATCACAGGGAGAGGCCCTCCTGACTGTCCCAACAGTCACAAAAGTTCATCTGGTGGGCACATGAGGGGGCCTTTTTCGTGGCAGCCCCACAATTATGGAACGAACTCCCCAGAGAGGTACGCCTGGCCCCCTCCCTTTTGATCTTCAGGAGGTAGTTGAAGACAGTTTTATTTAGGGCTGCATTTGACTAATTTATTAATTTATTTATTGAGACTCTTAATCAAGATTTTACAATGTCATCTTTTATGTATTTTATGACTGTTGATTTATTTATACTGTAAGCCACCTTGCGTCCTGCAAGGAAGAAAGGCAGCTGATGAATGTTTTAAATAAATAAAATATCTCATTTTACCCTCTCAAAAATCCTGTGATGAAGGGTAGGCAAAGAAGAGGCAATTCTCCCCCCCCCCCACCACCAGTCACCTATTGGCTAAGTAAGCCTCTGGATCAATGTTTGGAACACTATCCATAACACCTCTTTGTATATCACCAGATCAGGCAAAATTTCCCTATGGACACACACAAACGTTACCATGGATGTTAACATGGATGGCACACTGTGTGTGTCTCTTTCTCTCTGTGTATAGATATATATTCAACAACTCTATATGGTACAAGTAATTTTTTGTAATTCTCCCTCCCTCCAATGGATCCAAAGGGGAGCCAGCTGTTAGACTCTGAAGGCAGGAAATTATTTGGAAAAACATGTTGATACTGATTTTCTTCTTCCTCATGTGGGCATCCAACACATCTCTATTCAATCTCAAAGCATTTCAAATATAAAAAACTGGAAGAAAAAAGACAATAACACTGTTTTTGTACAAAGTTCTATTAGGAAATGCACCTTAAAGTTTATTTAAATGGGGGTTTTAACTCTTCTTCGCCTTCAGGGCACTAACTGGGTAGAGGCAGAATACTAATGTTTTAAATAAGTAAATAGATAATTAAACCAAATAATGATACATTACAAGTCTATTAGCACAATTACAAAGGAGAACTGCTTTTCAAGCTTCAAACACTAGGTGGCAGTCAAGTAAAATAAGTGTCTTCCATCACACCCAGGCAGCCAACCTTCTGTTGCTGGGAAACTGTTGCTTTCTTTCTACCTCTGGCACCATGGCTCATCCTGCATTTCAAAAGACCAGGGTCCACACAGGGATATTGAGAATAATAATGATATAAAAGGTACATCTTAAGTATTAGGGTTGTCAACCTCCAGATGGGGCCTGGAATTCTCCTAGAACAGGATACTTGACTAATGCAACATTTCAGTGCAAATGGGAGTTGGTAGGTATGGGGGTGGAAATGGGATCAATAAAAGGTGGCCAGTGTTTCGCAAGGATGCTCGCTACCTGTCTAACCTCTGTAGCATCCTGTGAGTTGATTATTCCAGGGCCCCCTTCCCCCCCATACACCTGTACTAATATTATGCAACAGCTGACCAGTGAAGCACAAAACTGCATACCTCTGTGAGATTTTGCTGGAAGAAGAAATTAACCTGGTTTGCTTAACATAAATACAGCTGAAAGAATATGACGTCGTATGTCTCTCCCAACTAACACCCCCTAGGTATGCTGACTTCCACAAACCCTGTATAGTTGGCCAAGGACTCCTCGAGTCCTTCAATTTCCAGTGCCAACTATATCTGGCATTGACTGTATGCTCCTTAAATTAGGGATTAAAGACAGATTAGGCATTCTGGCCACCTAGTTCACCAGTGGGCACCCTTTATGAGTTGTAAGAGGTATTGTCAGATGTGGTACTGGAGACTCCTAGATTGATTGTTCTGGGGAACTTCAAAATCCATGCTGAGAATACCTTACCAGGACCAGCCCAGAATTTTGAAGTCTCTATGACTGCTTTAGGCCTCTATCAAATTGTGATGTGCACAACAGATGAAAGAGGCCATATATTGGATTTAATTTTTTGCCCAGAGCAACTGAGGGAAGGCTTGGTTTCAAGGTTAGCGATTCAACCTGAAACATGGTCTGACCACTACCTACACAAAGCCAAGGTGAATGTGGCCCTAATACCCTGCATGAGACAGGTTAAAATTATCCACCTATGGAGACTCATTAATCCAGTTAGATTACAGAATGCTCTGGGCGATTTTAGGATCCCAAACACATGCTCAGCTGAGGCGGCAGTGGGAGTGTGGAACGTGAAGCTCCTCTATATTCACTCCCACACCCTGGACATAAACCGGCCTCCTAGTTTACCACAGAACTGGGTGACCTGAAAAGAAGACGAGAAGAAGAAGAGATTGGATTTATACCCTGCCCTTCACTACCCAAAGGAGTCTCCGAGCGGCTTACAAACTCCTTTCCCTTCCTCTCCCCACAGCAGACACCCTGTGAGGTAGGTGGGGCTGAGAGAGCTCTGACAGAAACTGCTCTTTTTCAAGGACAGCTCTTGTCAGAACTATAGCTTGTCCAAGGTCATCTAGCAGGTGCAGGTGGAGGAGTGGGGAATCAAAGCCGGTTCTCCCAGATTAGAGTCTGCACACTTAACCACTACACCAAACTGGCCAGGAGGTGTCTAGAATGATGCTGGTGGTGAACTTTCATTTATCTAATTCCATTTATTGAATTTCT